AACCGGGTCTTAAAGGGCCCTCCGCCCAAATCCTTTTAGCCTTTTTGCCTACTCGAGGTCCTCTATCGAATGATGTATGAACGAACGAAATCGGAGCCGGACACCTGGGGCGGTTCCCTCGTAAGATCCCGATTGTGTTGGACGGTTGCTCTGCTACTTTTGCTGGGATATTTTTTAGACTCGTTATGATTGTAATACCTTCTGAAATACTGACAATATTCACCGTATAAACTCGGAGGGCAGAAGCATTCACTTGTTAGAACGTCAGATTTTAGGGCTGTGACATCTCGACCACAGATCCATCATTTTTCGCCATTGTTTTCGTCTTTGTGGGCGACGTCTAAAACTTTAGTGACTCTTTCGGGTTGTTGCTGTTGATCGAAATCAAATGAGGTCATATCTGGTGATTCTGGATGCACAGGCAAATATATCATTGATATCAGTTTAATCCATGAATGAAACCGGTACGGATATATACTACGCCCAAAAACTGACGTTTGTGATAAAGAAAAAAGTGAAAGCTTCATCAAATGGAAGTAAGTAGATAAGAGTTGCATGCAAAAAATACTCTTATTACATGAGAATCGTACCTAAAATATCTCTATCTAGTGAATGTACAACCTACAAACTGCGTCTTTGTCACAATAATATTCGTCCAGCGTTTCCCACTCACAATCGGGTCTGCCATCACAAAACACACCTGCTAGAGGATCTCTGCAAATCGCCGGAACTACAGCAGAGACTTTATCACATAAAAGATTACCTTCATTATTTGAACAGCGTTGTTGACTCTTGGTCATTGCAATGAAAATCAAAGCCATGCTGTTGTTCAGTATTATTACCACAACTCAATAGATTCCGTTCATCCAATCCTCCGTAGCAGTCAATAATACCGTCGCCTATCTGTGTTAGACTAATACAAGGACGATTTATGGTAAAATTTAGTGGCTCATCGACATCCGCTAATGTATATCCATATTCCTCGGTCTCATTACAAATCTTAGAAAAAACGTTGTTTTCAGTTCTCTTCCTAATAAATTTTTTAATTTAAATTTTACAATGTGACGTTTGGTTGCTGAAAACAAGTTCGTCTGACAAAAATAAAATGAGTGCACATATAATCTGGATTAATAAATATATATGATAGGACAATGCCGATGACTTGTCAGTTCATTTTTCTTCTTCAGTCCATGTTTGATAGTGGTACGGAAACAAGACGGCAATGTCGGATAACATATTAGATCTCCCACGTCCTTTGGAATAAAATGGGGCCTGATTATCATATAACCACCGTTTAGCTGACACCTCACCGCTTCGGAAGGTGCTCTCATCTTGAACTAAAAGGAAAAAGTGAAAGAAAAATTAAAACAGTATTTAGATGAAAGTCGTTTTTAGCCTATCGCAACATACAGATCAGAATAGTTGGTGTCCCAGCTGTGGGTATTTGCCATTTTGGCTGCATATCATCACTTATTAAGTAATATGAATGTTTTTTTGGAAGAAAATATTGTAAAAATGTTGTACGGTGTTGCACTACATCTTGTCGTTCGTGACCTTCGAAGTAGGGACGTTGTGAATTAGATTCAAAACGAGCGCCCCATCTTCGAAGATCCAGACGGCAGGATTTAACTGAACGAATCAATGAATCATCAAAATCTTTTTTAATACCAGTTAACGTATAAAATTGTTCATCTATAAATTTCGCTAGTTCAAATGCATCAAAATCAGCAGCTTTTGCAGCGCATCGTTGAACAGAATAATTTTTAGCTGATGATTCAATATCAGGAAATACATCATAAAAACTGGGAATTTGTTTTCCACCTCGACCTTCGCTAATAAATGCATTAAAACTGCCTGATAAAAAAATAGTAGCCCATTTGTTTGCAGTTTCAGTCTTTAGTCCACCTATCTTCTTAAAAAAATCATCACATTTAAGCCAACTTATACCAAAATAACGAAGAGTCATATATAATAAAACACTACTAAGTTTTAAGCCTATTTTGTCCTTAATTAATTCGAACAAATCTCCAATATCATCGATTTTCATCTTATCAGCAAAACGAATAAATTCAGCTTCATCATATGCATCCGATGTAACATCTTCTTCCGATACACTCTCATCTTCTGATGACATTTGTTGATCATACCAACGCTTCCGTGCATAAATACGTCTTGCAGACCGACGTTTATTTAGTTTTGGCATAATGAAAAATAAAAAATGAGAAATTAGTTTCGATAGTTTTAAAATAACCGGTTCAACTGGTAAAAACTAATGTGCTTGTTTCAAGCAAAGTTAAATAGTTCAAACAGCAGTACTTATAGACTAGAGACCAGTCTAGACATAGAGAACAGTCTAGACATAAAGAATTGAATGAGAAAATGTCTATAAAAGTACAGAACACATGTGCTCATAAGAAGATAAAAATTATGATGGGACTTAGTCCTCACCACCTTCTTCTATTGGGACTATAAAAAATGATCCAAGCAAATATGCAATTAATATAATCAGAAACAAACGCGTAAAACGCTAGTGAATTTTGTTGTTTTTAATGAAAAATAAATTTTATAACTTTGTCTGCATAACTTCTGATCATTTTGAAGTTATGTCTATCGAATTCTGCCTGAATTTTTACTAATAAAAAGACAAACAAAAAAATATA